TGATGTTGATGGACCAATGACGCGTTACGTGAAGTTACGTGTTTTCCACTAGCAGAACCTCCAGCAAAATCTCTCATGTTTCCGTCGGGATTCGCCTGGGAAGGGATGTTTTCCCTGAAACAACAGTGAGAGATGTGAGAGGGTCACTGCGCCCTGAAGAATTTGGCATTGCGATGGCGGGAATCCCCTCAGAGAATCATGCAAGTGTTGCTCGTAGAATCTTTCCTGGGGTGAATTGTAATGATGCAAGATTTTGGTTCCATCGGCCATCTACCCCCATATGCATGCATTCCTCGACAGGAACGCACAGCTGGTCCTGGCCCAGCCCAGCTCTCAATCGGTTTGCCATTGTTCTTGCGTGAGAGATGGTCAAAGCTAGCTTGTCCAAAGATGAGGTCCGTCTTCACCTGGTTTCGATGTTGCATCTTGATCATCTTGGTGGTAGCAAGCAATGGTATGAAACACTGGAACGGGTTGGAATATGTTTGAATGGTCTAAAAGTGCATCGCTACAAGTAACAAGAAGCTACATGTTGGACTTGTCACTGTCTAAATGGCCCACCTGGTTTACTTTGTTTGGCCACCTGGTCAACCTCAGTGCTTTGGGTCCCATGAGCATCCCAACAGCTTGGACTTCCTCTAAAGCCCTGCTGGCAACACAGTTCGGGTCAGCTGAAAAAGTGATGGGTACACCTCACAGAAGGTCATGACATAAAACAGTTCATGATCACAATATGCATGAATCAAGATCACAAACAGGTTGCACACGATTTTGGAGTATCAGTTGAGATTTAAATATTGTGTTTAGTGAGTTGTACGAGGTTCTGTTTAGGAAGTGGTGTTCTAGGGGATCCCCTACGCCAATTTGTTGCGGTTTGGGTGTTTATCGCTCAACACAGGTGCACTCATTGTGATTGTTTCTCCCAGGCAACGACTGGGGAATTGGACCGGTCGCGCAGGCCGGGAACGCACCGACGGTCGTCGGGACGGCTTCCAGACTTGTGGGTGGCCGGGTGTTTTCACTGACGGACGGTCCATGGATGTGCCAGAAGCTGAAGTGTTTGGGCCGTGGATTCTTGGGAAGCAAGAAGTGTACCCCAGGAGCTGAAGTTTGTTGAGGTCAGATCATGCGATTTAAGGTGTCCTTCCTGACTTTGGATGAGCTATGGGTTGCGCTCCTTGTTTGAAGGATATGAATGGCCTCGATCATCCCACACCAGCACTCTACCTGCTTGCGCTTCCCAAACTTGACCGGTTCGCCACTGGACCTGATTCATGTCACGAACAGTTGTTTGCTTAAGTACAACAAGACTTGTATTGCAGCAAATGGCTTTGAGTATTGCCTTCCGTTCACTCATCAGTAGTCCACCGCGACCTCACTGCGAGCGACCAGGAACGTGACCGTTTCCGCGCAGAGAATTAGCTTGAGCCCCTTGCCATAGACTTCGCACGCCGATTTCATGTGGTGAAGGTGTGTGAGAGACGTGCCATTGCCACTCTCGGATTTCAACCTCATTGACTCATCAGGTCAGATGCAACCTCATGTTGTTGGGCACTCACTTTCGAAGACAGAGCACATGCTCGGGGTGACTATGTGTTTTGTGTGTTTGCAGGCAAAGTAACACCGACAGTACATATCATGCAATCAACCCTTTGTGTTTGAGAGAAGGGTTAAGGATGGTTAAGGGCACTTCAAAGTTCAGTTTCTTTTTGCCTCTAAGTGACTACTTGTGACCGCGATTAGTGCCATTTGCACATTGTTGGGCCAAAAAGATATGTGATATTTGCACTTGCTCGCAGGATGAAACCATGTTAAATAGATGTTGAAACATAATTAGTCCATAGATATCCAATCCAGTCCAGCACCTTGAGGGTGAGAATCCCAAATACAAACATGAGCACATCTCGGTGTTTGATCCGGATTTGAACTATTGCAGTTTTCTTAAGTGTTCTGCCTGTTCTTTGTTTTCGGCTTTTGAAGCATAGGAATGAAAACAGACAGGACATAGTCCTAGTCCTGCTCAGGTGCCAGTACTGGCACCCTGGCAGCCGGGAGCTACACTGCGAGGCGGGAGCCATATGATGACCTTACCGCTGCTGCACCTGCACCTGGACAGGCCAGAAGAGGCCTCAGATGAGCTAGATGCGGCAGTGCAAAGGCCACAGACAGGGGGAGGGAACGGAGGCGGAATCGAACTGACCAACTCCAAGTGGCAGTGTGTGAAAACTCCTGACAATTCTAGGACATTCTTGTGAGTGAGCTGGTATGTATGATTCATGATGCTTCTACTTTTGGGGCCTTGCACTTGGACACAAGGCCTTCATACAATTTTCAAGCCCTGAAGGACCATTTGAAGGGCAAAATAAGGTGGTGCAGCTATTGACATTGGTGAGGTTCTTGCATGAATCAGGGATACGCTCCAGCGGTTGGCGACTAAACAGCGGCCCCTGGGGTGTTCCCTGCTGAAGCAAAGTGTTTGCTTCAATGAAAGTGGAGAGCCTTTGGAAAGGACAGTCAATACACATTGATGTTTGGATATGCGGGGGTCAAGATCAAACTCACTTGTGGAAAGCAGGCATGGGCCCCATGGGCTCGTGGGTGTCCAGGGCGGTGGACCCAAATGGTCAGATGGATACGTCTTTGGAGGAGTTCCCTGGTTTGACAGCCCAAGTGATGCTGCATTTTGTGGGATATGTGTTTCACTTCTAGTTGTTGAGACAACCCTGAAGCTTCCAACGTTCTCACTGACACCCTGCTCTTCTAGGCACGTCGACTGAAACTAGCACTAGCCACAGCACTTTTTGCATTTTATTGCAGTAGCTTGCCGTTCTGCTGAGGAACCCGTCCGTTCGCTTGACGTTCGCTTTTTGTTGAGGTCAGCTGCTGTTCACTCGTTACCCTACCGCTCTGGGGAAAGTCAATCAACCACGACCGCTCCGCTGTCCAGGTACTCCGACACCAACCCGCTACAATTCCCCCTGGCGCGCGTGTCTCGAGGGGCCACTTTGACTGCATAGCAAGGAGGATGTTGTGCGATATACCGGATCTACTGTACGTATAGACATATATATACACACTGTGTATGTATATATATATATATATGTCCGTACCATAGGAGTCCAAGACCATGTCATGTTTAAACATGTTTAAACACATCTACGTTTTCTTTTATTGAGATCAGTTGGTTTTAACATTCCGGTTGTGTGCGTGTTGTTTCTTTTTTACTGGCTTTTGGGTGATCGGTCCCAGCAATTTGGCATGTGGACGACACGAGGAGGTTCTTTGGGAGTCGGGCGACTGACACGATCTTGACATTTGTGCGTTTGGAAAGCTCTGCAGTTATATATTTGTGTGCTAAGAATAAGAATAGGGACTTAGGGATAGCAGGAATTGCCTTGGAGTGAGTGTCCATATCCGATATTCATTCGTATTCATGGCAGCTCCTTACTCTTACACATGCAATGCAGAGAGAGAGAGAGAGAAAGGGTCACTACAATTATGAAGTCAGACCTCCTAAGGCAAGTTGGAATGAAGAAACTGAAATAATGGATTCTCAAGCTTTGTGCAAACACTGGAAGCCACACACCGTTGAGAACGAATCCCAACCCCAACATTCCATACTCTAGTGTATATTCCGTATCCATTCACAAGGTCTACCTCTACGGGAACAAGAAGTTGCTAATGACGATGCACAACAGCAGTGTGGCTGCAATTGAGCTTGGAGGTCTCAGAGCATGTTCACGTCGTTACCGTTCACGTCGTTAGGCCAGGCAAACATATTTAGAGGATCAGTGAAGTTGTCCTTTGCAGGATGTAGTGCTCCACTTGGCCTTGCAATGGACTCTTTTGCGATGTGGACAGACATTGCTTCTTCAAGCAGATCTGAGCAGCCAATTATAGGCCATAGGTACATTATGGTACATTTGTTGAACCATGTATTTAACAGTGTCCCATGTATTTCACAGTTGCATGCTGGAATATGTGTGTAATATATATATATAAATTGTATATATGTATAAACTGACAGTTGGGTGTCATACGCTGCATGATCATTCAATCCTGGAGCTCGACTCCATACCGTCGTTTCCAGTTGGGTTGAGTAGGGGATACTTGATACATATCTTACATGTGTTTGTTCCTTTTCATTGTCAAGTCGCGGGCAGTTTGCTAGCGATTTGCGCTCTCCCTTTGAATGCCCTTCACGACAAACCTGAGCTACAGGCAAGCTGATGGTCCGCATTGGTGGCGGCTTTGCTACTCTGGACTGGGTGGGTATCTGGGTACCTGGGGTACCAAGTTCATCTCCAAATGCGGAGACCGCTCCACGCGGTCAATCGGGGTCACGCCACTGGATCTCAACACACGCGTCATTGTGCCATTGAGCAACGACACGGATCTCGATTTGAGAACTCCCAAGAAACAACACAAATGACGGTGTGGATCAAAACCTCGTCAATCTTTATAGACTCATAGCATAGTATAAATATATATATATATTATATATCTATATTTTTTTAATACAGCAATCTGTTTTCAAGGGTCACGAAGGTTGTGGGGTTTTGACCCACATCCAAATGAATCTGGCATGACACACTTTTCCGGCCTGTTCTCCCCAGCGTTGAAGGGTCGTCCCTACCTATGGCTTGCATGATTGAGAAACAAAGAACGTGCATGACTAGGCACTGAGATGATGCAACCACCATGCCAGCTCGCTAGAAGTACCTCCCAGGTCAAAACCTCCATCAATGTGGTGGGTGTGAGCAAGCTTGGCATTTCCCGATGGGTGAAGATGAACAATTCAAACAGCTCAAAGCTGCATGAAACTTGATGTCCAGTCACAGCATATTTGCTCAATATCACATGGTCATGGCATATGGTGCGTGCTATGTTTGGTATTCATGGTCGGTAGTCGCTGATTTGATCCGTTGCCCTCGGCTCAATGAAAATTGAAGCATTGCAGTTGGAAAGAATTTCGACCATCAGCATCTTCCAAAGTCTTCATGTCGCGTGGCCGACCATCGATGATGCTTGATGAGTGTGTCGAAGAGGGCAGCCCTACCAACGCCCGAAAGGAGTTTGAGGCGGAATGTTTGTGGTCAACATGGTACATAGCTAAATCTTGAAGATCTTGAAGAATACCCCGAGTGGAAGGAGCAGGGTTGGGTGTTTTCAGTTCCCAGATTAGTGTGTTCCCTTCCCGTGGTGTTTTCAGTTCCTGGATTGGTGTTTTCCTTGCCCAGCTCCTGTGTTGGTGTTTTTGGTTCCCAGGTTTGGGTGTTTTCAGTCCTGGACAATGTGTTCCCTGCCCGGCTCCTGTGTTGGTGTGCCCTTTCACGTGTTTGTTTGTCAGCTTTCGTTTGAATTTCTGGCTACCATTGCCCACCGCTGGATTTGAAAGCACGTACTCGTGTCACACAATGAAACAGACAAAGAACACTGCAAAACCGAAAACATCCGTGCATTTTTCCCTCTTCAACGCAAGGCGGGCACCGAAAACACCATCACAGGAACTGAAAACACCCGCGGGCACTGAAAAAACCGAGCCGGGCACCGAAAAAACACCGCCGCGCGGGAACCAAAAACCCACTTGGGAACCAAAAACACCGCGGGAACCGAAAACACCAACGCGGGAAGAAAAAACACCGCGGGAACCAAAAACACCAATCCGGGAACCAAAAACCAGGAGCCCGGAAGAGCAACAAGGTAGTGAAGGTCTGAGGTGAGGGAGATGATGCACGTTACCGGGCATTATACATCATTACAACATCCCCACATGTTTGAAACTATCAATACAAGCTGGTGGACTTGCCAAGCGAGTCCAGGCTATGGTGCAAGCTCAAACCAAGGACGAGGCGCCAGCTAAGGAGTGCTTTGTTGAGGGTCCTTGGCCATGGAATCACAATGATAATTGAATGGCACTTGAAAAGACCAAACGCTGCTGCATAAAACTGCTGCAGAGATTGCAGATTGATCCCGTTGCTTTTGTTGATCCTTTTCTCAACCATTTGAGCTGACTTGAGAGGCTGAAGAGCTACGGAAATTATATGCTGCAAGTTGGCGTCAAAGCGATGTTGCGCTTGGCCTCAAGCAGCCTAGGCCCGGCATCATTGCCAACGCGAATGCCGCTCTTGAAGCCCTTCGAGCGGATGCTGTTAGTGATGGTAGCGAGCGCGGAGAATCCCAAGCTGAACAGGACGATTGGACAAACCAGGTATGGATCTGGTTCAAGTCCCTGGCCATTTCCGCTTGCTGTGTACGCAAGTAGGCCTGGTCCCGGTTCGCAGTCGCGATGTGTTCCAATCATATATATGTATTATATATATATGCGGGATAAAGTAACTTAAAAGTAACATGGAACCTGAACATGTACCTTTGGAATACTATCTTCCTCTACAACCCAGTGGTTGTCAGGTTCCATGTTAATTTTTTCCGGGTGTATTATAATATATTATGTAAATCAACAACACTTGCCTTCAATGCTGATGCATGCATGGTTTACGGTTTAACCGACTTATGTTCCAAAGACCAGCGAGTGGCTCTTGTAGATTCATTATTGTAGATTCTTCTGTGGTGACATTAATTGTACCAGATCAGTGCTGCACAGTCATGCAAAGTCCAAGCTGCGCTGCAGGCAGGTGTCCTTAGATGGCCCAGCGATTGTCCTCTGCCAAATGAGTTGCGCGGCCCATTTTAACTTATGCATTCCTTTGTTCGCCACTGTGAGCACGAGGTGTCACTAGCGATTAATGTTCAAGCACTTCTTGATTGATACTCGTTCTAGTTTACGTAATTTGCTTTTCATTCAATTTTCCATTTGCTTTGAATTCCTGACCCTGGAGCAGCGGCCCCCCGGAACGAGCTCTCCAATCCAATGGTATTCAAGTTGGATGCTGCCCAAAGAGGCAAAAAGTGGATGTTGACAGTGGCCGAATAGGCATAGACGCCTTGTTTCCTGATTCCAGCGAGTTCATCCACAAGAAAGTGAATACAACATTCAGATGTATTGATGTATTCAGATATTGTTTGTCCGTTTTGTGTTCAGATTGACTTGCCGCGTGCTGCTCAGGCAGTTAAAACAATAATCAATTGTGAAGAGTGGCAGTGCAGAATAGGTGGATCTAGGTACCAGTTGAATGAACTCCACGACAGGTTATTATTATGTATATGCCACGAGAATGCGATGCCGCAACATTGATTCAATGACGTTGTCAAAAGAGTCTTGGCCGACTGCCGAATCCGGACGACTGCTCAGATTGGATGTACCTCCAACCCACCAAACCTCGCATGTCGAGACAGACGTTTGCGCGGCGCCTTCCCGATGTCTTCGTGCCATCGGAGGAGTCCCAAATCCAAGAGGCGGAGCGGACCACTCGCCCTGCACCTCAGGTTGCGGCACGGGGCCACAGGTTTCTCACACAGCACGGAGGACTGGGATGGCCACAGAGGAGGAGGGCAGGGAATAGAAGATATAGCAGGATGAATTTCCAGCTAGAGTTACTGCTCCAGTTCCTTTGGGTAGTTAAATGGTAAAGTACACGTATGGTACTCACAGCACATCTATTTTATGTAACTATACTATATACAGATAATTATCATACTAATTATCATATATACATCCATTCTCAATCCAGTATGCAATTAGTACTGGACGTATTTATGGATCCAGAGTTGTGATGGCAGTTAGTTTGCACAATTTCACAATCAGCCGTATGCCGGACATCTCAGCGAATCCTATTAGAAAAAGGACTCCGGTCGAGTTTCTTGCACCCCAAAATGGGGGCCCAAAGATTGGAACCTGGGTGTTTCGATTCAAAACTGAATGATAGCCTGGTGGGTGGTTGCCTATGTATAATTCCTAATTCTCGGGACTTTTAGTAGAAAGTAAAGGCAGTAATTAAACATCCAAAGCAAGTTGCATTTAGGGGTGTCCGACATGATAGTTGACATGATAGCTTTTAATCGGGTAGTGCGTTCTAAGTATGTACTCGGGATTGTTGAGGTGACAATTGCCCATGGGAGTACCAAGTAGTTAATAGTCATTTCCCCAACTGCCACACCGCTAAAGCACGCATGACCCTGATAAAAACCAATCGCCAAAGGTTCTTTGTTAGGCTTTGGCGTCAACCACCCCGCCTGCTTCTCATTGCCTCACTCATTCTATGAGGTCGTGAACGCAGCGCGGAGGATGTCCCGTCATGGCCTCGGGGAGGATGTCCCGTCTCCGGTGGAAGACGTTCCTGACTCACGGGTGTTAGAACCCAATGTACAACCTGATGCATCACTGTGAAACACTGGCTTTTCCGCATTTCCACTGTGGTGCTTCGACTGCAGCTGTGGCTATTCCCAGCTTCAGCGTAAAAGAACCCCTAATTGAAGGGCTGTTTGCAGAATCACGTGGCCAGTCTCCACCGATAAGGTCACGAATGTTTGTACAATCATTGAATGTCCCAGAGGAGGTCGTGTTGAATGAGACCTGAAGGCCTTGACTGGTTGGCCACTATCGCTGCATCACAGACAATTGACCCTGTACCATGTGTTGTCCATTTCCATGTATGTAAGTCTTCCTCACTGATATCTTTGCCACCCAAGAGCGGCTAAACGGTAGCAGCATGTAGCAGCAGGTCCTTTTTGCAGATGGGTGAACATATGTGAACAGCATGATTTCAATTTGTACTGAAATTTGCTCTCACTACCTCACGTGGAGTCAACGTGGAGGTGGGACAAGAAGACTCCTGATAGACCATCAGTATGACGTTAAGAAAAAACAAAGAACACATGCAGCTGACTCGTAGAGACACGAACGCCGGGGAAGGAACCCCAAAATGCCCCTTGTTTACTTTGTCACACAAAGAGTAAGAGAGCCAGTGGCACGAGGCATGCGTAAAGACTCCTGAAGGAAGGCTGCATGATGTAGCCTGCTCGGGACTCCTTGTTCGAATCCCATTGACTATCTTGAAGACTCTCGTTGTCAGGGAACTGCTTAGGGAACTGTTTAGACAGGGAAACTACAATAGGGAACTGTTTAGACAGGGAGTGCAGCAAATCTTGTTTGGCTGTACACCTTGAGAACATCATTTAGGGAGTAGCCAAATTGTATCTGTGGGTGACAATTTCTTCACTGTGATGCTTGAATGCCGAAGAACTCCGGACTTCAGGTCAATCTGGAAGGATAGCCGAATCAGGTCATTCCTCGCTCGTGCTCTTGTATCCCGGATTTCACCATTGGCACGGCTCAGACTCGGCCGAACGGCCTATAGTGAGACATGCGTTCTGCTCCAAACACGTGCGATCCGACGCGTTCATGGACCATGAACAGCCAGTTGGATAGTTGAGTAGTTGGGGGGTCCAACCACCAGTCGGATTGTTCCCCCATCCTCGGGGGCCTCATATTGCTCCATATCCCTCCATATGGCACCCCTGTTTTTTTTTGTAGATGGGATGAAGATGGAGCAGAGCAGTGGAATTACCCCCCCATGCAGAGGCCAAATGGCCTGGGGCAGACTGAATCCAATTTTCCAGGACCTTGCAGGTTCCCTCTCTTCATTCTTCAACATGACTGCACACGATGGGTGACTGAATAAGATATTGCTGGAGTGATCACTGCGACGCGATTTAGCCTATCACAGGTTGACCGGAATTCCTCCGGACGAAGAAAACGCCATGGCTCACAAGTTCAGTGGGGACTTTGCGGTGCTTTGTCTGAAGTCCGTTTTTTCACCCTGACTCAAACTCAAAACTGATCGTTTATCATAGTTTCTTGCACCTGCTTCATGTCGCAAATGCTGCACATTGAAGTCGCAGCTGGAGGACACAGTAGGATACAGTGGGTATTAGTTGGAACATTGTCATTGGTTTCCTTTAGTCTTACAGTACTAGTAGTTGTTTGATGTGATGTACCCCTTTTTTGCACGATTCTTCCTGTTCACCCGCCAACACAAGGACGACCTGGAAGTTCATCCCAATCAAATCAAGAACCGTTTTAAACGACGCGCCGACGCTCGACCTATCTTACATAGTCTCCAACATCTTTAACAGTTCATTAATCCAAATTGTGTCCTTTCAAGCAGCATGCTCTTGGACATCCCGTTGCGAATTCTATGAGACAATGTTATGTGGAACATGTGAAAACAACGGCATACATAAAACATATTGCAACATGTACAGAAGCACAATAGAAAGTACTAATGTACAGTGTACATATAGTCTATTGTACTGCAATGTCAACTTTTAATACGGCAATTGAATGTGGGATCAGGTTTTAAAAAATCGAGTTCCTATCAGAAAACACCACGATGCAACAAAATAGAAACACAGAGGAACACATCTAGTTCCTTTGGTAAACAAATTTGCACTTAAGACTCCAACACATCGACGTCAACCAAAAATTGGTGTTGAACCGTGTTGTTTGTTGTTTGTCCCGTTTTTCCAGTGGATTCGTGCCGGGGTTCCCTACTTTTGGACACATCAGATGGTTGTGGGTCAAACCCGTTGACGACATAATTGCTGAAATGGACTCCCAAGCAACCTACTGTGGTTTTGGATTCACAACCATATAGTTGGTAAGGTCAACTTTTGCGACAAGCTCATGTCGCAGCAGTTGTTTCTTCGGCGCTTCGCGGGAAGATGCCAAGGTGCGAACCGAGTTTGAGGAGAATGAGGATGATGAGGCGGAGAAGTTCCAGCAGGCATTTCTGGTGGGGTGTGGAAGCAGGGAAGGCAGATTGTTTTTCCAGTTTTTGACTATTAAATGCATGGGCCTTGTTTAACGTTGCCTGATGTGTTTCACGTTGAACAGAGGAAGCTGACAAGAAACACAGTGGAACACGCCTATATAGTTCTATTGGGAAACACAGTTTGTTGTAGGGTTAACCGAAACAGTCGAGTGCAAGTACGAGTGCACACTAAGACTTTAGCACATCGACGTCAACCCATTGACCAATAATTAGTTTTGAACCATTTTGCTTGTTCCACAAAAAATAAATTCATGTGTGAGTCCATGTGTGGTACCAGGTGGTCACAGGGTGGCACTTTTGGATGCCAACTGGAGATCCTGAGCCCATGACCAAATGACTGAAATGTCATGGTGGGGACTCCTCGAACTAAAGTAAATGTTTGATCCGTTTTTGCCTGTGCGTTCGTTGCCGGGCTCCCTACTTTTAGTTGGACGCATCAGATGGTTGTGGGATGTTGTGGGTCAAACCCGTTGACGACATAATTGCTGAAATGGACTCCCAAGCAACCTACTGTGGTTTTGGATTCACAACCATATAGTTGGTAAGGTCAACTTTTGCGACAAGCTCATGTCGCAGCAGTTGTTTCTTCGGCGCTTCGCGGGAAGATGCCAAGGTGCGTAAAGAGTTCGAGGAGAATGAGGATGATGAGGCGGAGAAGTTCCAGCAGGCATTTCTGGTGGGGTGTGGAAGCAGGGAAGGCAGACTTGTTTGAGCTTTTGACTTTATTTCACGTTGAAGGGAGGAAGCTGAGCAAGTTGAGGAACCAATCGTGCGCTCAGCATGCGATCCCGCAGGAAGCGAAGAGTCCCACCATCGCAGCTGGAGAGCTTAAGATGTCGCCCTCCTTGACGCTTGGACCGTTGGACTGTTTCAGCCTTGAATGGTGTTATGAATGGACTGAACTGCACGACTAGTGGCTACTTGATGCTACTTGTGGATTTTCTTTACGCATACGCACTTGAGACAGTCAGTTCAATACTGTCAATTAGTTAAAGATTTTCCACGATATGTTTCGAAGATGAACGGTTTTGGGGGTTGTGAATTCTTGTGGTTTTTCATTCCGATGAAATTTACCTTCCTCATTTCATGCCACTTGACCATTGATGATCAAAAACATAAAGACATGGACCGGTGAGTTGACCTTGTTTTGGCCACCGGCTCGGAAACCGAACGTGTAATGGTGTTCATTTTGGCAATCACTTTAATTCCGACCTTTTTCGACTCGGTGGCCGTGGATGTGGATGTCAAGTAGGATTTCATGCCCACATGTTGCAACAACCTGTTGGCACGTTGCGCAGAAGAGCTGTCGAAAGAGCTGTAAAGCCGCAGGAGAACGCACTTTTTGCAGTTTTTTTCCCGAATGCGTAGCGAAGGGTTCTCGTTTAACTCTGGGGTCTGGGGGTAGAGCGTTGTTCGCGACCCGTTGTTTCTAAGTTCGCAACCGTCCGCAACCGTTCGCACCGTCCGCAGTAGAGCGCTAAGGCGCTGCCATTGGGGGAAGCTTTTGGAGAGGGTTTCGGATGAAAACGTGACGTGTCAGATTCGTGTGAAATAGCGAGGAATCGTGTGGAAATGTAAGATGTTGAAGTGTGGAGGATGATTTCACTGCGCAGGCGCAGCGTTTTGTGAGATCCGCAGTTTGCTGCGCAGTTCCTTTGGGATTAGCGTTTGGAGAGTCGTGTTCTTGGGCGTTGGATGTGGCCGTGCCATTGGGATTTGCATTTCAGGGTGTGGCATCGAAGCTCTGTTTTCGTGACAAGTCTCGGCTGAAGTGGCGATTTTGGTGGATGGGAGTGTGCTCAGAACGGGTCGAAATCACTCCAAACGTGTGGTGTGGTGCAAATTTTGTTGAAGCTCACATGAGATGATAGATATTGTCACTTTTCGTGGCAGGCGCAGGGAATCGTGAGGTTGCGAGGTGTGACGGAGGTCACATTTCGTGGCAGGCGCAGTACTTTGTGCGCGTTAGACGTGTGGACGCGGAAAGATTCGTGGCAGGCGCAGGGAATCGTGAGGTTGTGAGTTGTGGTAGAGGTGAATGTCGCTGTCACATTGGGATTGGCGTGTGAGCGGGTGTTGTTTGGAGGGGCTGGAATCGCGAAACTGCTTGGCAGGGCTGCGTGATGTGTGTGTGCTCCGATGGGTGTTTCCGCTTGACTTTTGGAGGAAGTCTCGTATGAAACGCTCGTTTTGCAGACTTTGACATGTGAGTTTTTGAGGAAGTCTCGTACGAAACGCTCGTTTTGGAGACTTGACGTGTGACTTTTGGAGGAAGTCTCGTACGAAACGCTTGCTTTGGAGACTTGACGTGTGACTTTTTGGAGGAAGTCTCGTACGAAACGCTCGTCTTGCAGCCTTGAAGCGTGTGTCCTCCCAGATAGAGTGTCCCACAAGAGTGTCCCGTATGAGTGCCCCACAAGAGTGTCCCACAAGAGTGTCTCGCAAGAGTGTCCCTTAAGAGTGTCCCACAAGAGTGTCCTATAAGAGTGTCCCACAAGAGATCACCAGAGTGTCCTACTAGAGTGTCCCACAAGATTGCCCTACAAGAGTGTCCCGCAAGAGTGTCTCACAAGAGTGTCCCGCAAGAGTGTCCTACAGGAGTATCCCACAAGAGTTTCCCACAAGAGTGCTCCAAACTGCCACAAGAGTGTCCCACAAGAGTGTCCTACAAGAGTGTCCCACAAGAGTGTCCTACAAGAGTGTCCCACAAGAGTGTCCTACAAGAGTGTCCCGCAAGAGTGTCCTACAAGAGTGTCCCACAAGAGTTTCCTACAAGAGTGTCCCACAAGAGTGACCCACAAGTGTGTCCCGCAAGAGTGTCCTACAAGAGTGTCCTACAAGAGTGGCCCGCAAGAGTGGCCCACAAGAGTGTCCGGCAAGTGACCCACAAGAGTGTCCTACAAGAGTGTCTCACAAGAGTGTCCCACAAGAGTTTTCGACAAGAGTGTCCCATAAGAGTGACCCACAAGAGTGTCCTATAAGAGTGTCCCACAAGAGCGTCCTACAAGAGTGTCCTATAAGAGTGTCCCACAAGGAGTGTCCTACAAGAGTGTCGTGTAAGAGTGACCCACAAGAGTGTCCTACAAGAGTGTCTCACAAGAGAGTGACCCATAAGAGTGACCCGCAAGAGTGTCGTCTAAGAGTGTCCCACAAGAGTGTCCTACAAAAGTGCCCCGTAAGAGTGACTCACAAGAGTGTCCTACAAGGGTGTCC